CCCAGGAAGTGCTGAAAAGATCAGAACGTCTTGTGCATGGGACACATGAGGCTCTGGCAAGATGTGATTAAAGTATTCAGAATCATCTCCTGCAGTCACGTGAAGAGACGGAATTCAAGACCGGACAAACACCTGGCAGATGATTTTGAATGTAGACAGGCGCATTGTGTTGCATGCAGATAGCGAATCCCAGCTCTAGTGTAAGAGAGGGCCTACAGAACTGGTCAAACCTACCTGTGGGAAAGACTGGGCGATGTTAATGCAATATTCCTCCTTGGACAATGTACGGGAGCAAAAAACGGCAAACAGGGAGTTAGGATATATAATACAAAATTCAGAATTTAAATCAAGAGAAGTTGTTAAAACTGTACGATCCGGTGCTTCAATAATGAATATTTTGAAGATGTTTGCTCATCGTGGTACGAGGAATATTTTGCTGCCCTGAAATCAGTACAGAGTAAAGAAACCAGATACAGTCTAGATCTTTAAAGGAATGTCCTGCACAGAAAACCGAGGAGACTACAGCAGGATGTCATGGAAGTTTTAAAAATCCCCAAATGCTCAACCAGGGTCACCCCGGCAGATTACCGCAGAATGAGCAGTGAAACAGGAGCCAGTGGTGGCAAGTGGAAACAATGTGGAAGTGCTTTTAAAACCAAGTACAGGAGGCGCTACTGTACACAAAGGGTGGCGGAGGTGTGGAACAAGCTACTCAGTTGTGGTTTTTGAAGACAATACCCTGTCTTCCCTTAAGAAACAGATGGGTGAGCTCTTAAAGTCGCTTAGCCACTGACTAACAAATGAGCCGGGAGGGACAAATGGCTCCTCTTGTGTGTCACCCTTTCTTCTTATTTCACACTGTAAAGCAGAGAGAGGCGTGTGAGGGCGGGCTAGCTTCAGGAGCCAAAGAAGGATGACCTTCTCTGGAACAGAACGCTGTGGTCTTATGAAGCAAACGAGCCAGCCGGGCGTCAGATGCTGTTTGTGCTACTGGCACCAGTTAAACTGCGCAGTGGCTCTGAATCGGTTGGGAAAAGGCAGTTTCTCACAGCTTAGCTCATTTCTTTGAAAGCGAGCCATTTGGTCTCTTCCTGCGCGCGGCTTGCCACGAGGAGACGTTCACATTGAATTAAAACATTAGCGCTGTTTGTAATTAATGGGCAGACGTCTGATTAGGTTTATTAACTTTGAAAAGGCTGGCTCGCTCGGCGGATGACAGCCCGGCACGGAGGATGTGGTCAGGCGCCGGCAGTGGATCATTCCCGGGGCTCAGCGCAGCTCACGGGGAAGGAAGAGCCGGGTCCTGGCGGGACCGCTGGAGCAGGGCGCTGCGGGGCCCGTTCACCGGACCCGGACGCACGCGGGGGATTAGGGACAGTCCGTCACGCCGTTGCGCGGGAACGCGAGGGAGGCCGGTCCCCCTCTCCAGCGGTGCGTTGCGGTCGGCACGCAGCCCGACGTGTGGCCGATCCCAGCCCAGACAACCGGGCCGTTTTCTCGGGAGAGTCGCGCTGGAGAGGGAGGAGGAGGGGGAGGGGTCGCGCTCCGCCGCGGACACCGTTCTCTGGCGTCTGCAGCTGAAAGGCCACTTTCTGTGTAATTTCCAATCTGATTACCTCCTCCGATATTCAGGCTCATTTGTTTCTGGTGATTGTAGAAAGATTGGGCGCAGTTATAGTTTCCTGCGCAATTGTCTGTCACTCGGGGACAAAAGAGCTCAATTTTAGAGAGTTTCAGTGTTCTGCCTCAGCACTAAATTTACCCCCCTTTCTTCTTCGGGGAAGGAATTTATTAAGAGGTGTAATGCCCTGACCTAACAAGATGAAGATTTGAATAAGAAAGGTCTTCGCCATTTAGACGTTATTTTTCGAGGCTCGGTGCAGAAGGTCTGGAGTCGGGCCTGTCTTTCAGGATGTCGTCCTGTCGGTTGTTCAGCTGCGACCTAGTTGAAGTTGATTTAGCGTTCCTACAGCTATGTGGTCAGTCCTGGCTCCTTCACGCATTGGCATCCGTTGGAGATAACGGCGGATGGAAACGTAAAGCAGGAGAATTTTGTCAGGCTCCCATTCCGTAGTCGTTTGAACCATTCCGGGTCTTGCCACCCGCAGGGTGCTGAGCCAGGCCAGCTACAGCATGGTGCTGGATCCCACACGCCGGCTGGGAGCTGGGAATTAAGTCCTACTGCACTCGGCCGGTGCAGGGACACAAGTGGAAGTGTCCCTCCCTTCATGCATGTTCGCTTGAACTTCGGATGTCTGTCGGCCGGACCCGCTGGGGGGGGAGAGATCTGACCGGATCCGATGGAGTCTAGGGAGGCTTTAAAAAAAAAAAGTCAGGATCAACCGGGAAGGAGAGGGGGTCTTCTCAAAAGTGAAGGATGCTTGAGCTGCAGGATTGTGTGGGGGAACCCCTGCTCCCCACTAGCTCCAGGCCTGGTGAGGCGCCGTGGTTGGCGTGAGCTCGTGGGCTCAGTGAGGTGAGCGTGTCTGCTGGAGGGGTGAGGCGGTCAGGCGCTGGTGGCTCTGTGGTCCAGAAAACAAGCTGACCGCATGAGCAGGCTGGACAGGTCGTTACTGAAATAGGAGTAGTGAGAAGCTTTATTTTTATATAGCGCCTTTTGAAAGTGGCTTCTCAACGTGCTTTACAGAACGAGAGGAAAAAAAAAACACGGAGAGGAGATGGTAGATGAGGTTACGAAATACAGCGAGGAAGCCAAGGTGCACACAGAACCAGTTCAATAAAAGCCCTTTTAGAAAAGACAAAAGAAGAAATATACCCTTCACCTTGTAAACTGCCACTGCATTCAAGAGTCAAATTCGTTTAAGAGTCCTGCAAGTGAGATGTGTTTGTGTTAAAGAGTGTCCTTGTGACGCTTGAAGCACCTGAGTATTTCGGAGTGCGTCTCACTCCTGGTTCGGTTAAATAAATCTGTGTGACACCATTTCAAAGATGAGAAAGCCAAATGGCTAGGTCATTGATTTTGAACGCCCCTCCCCCCAATGGCCAGAGCTGTGATGCAATTAACAGGTGTTGGAGCTTGAGATAAAGAAAGTGCTCCCCCAGAAACGGCTCAGGCCCGGATGTGCCGGCCGTGATGGTGAAATGAAGTTTCTGGCCTGGTTTCAGGGTCCGGCTGCAGTCTTGTTACGGGAGGACTGGACCACTAGAGCAGCCGGAGAGAGGAATTCGCGGGGGACCTCTTCTCCAAAGTAGGATTTTACTTACTGTACGTAGTCTGTCCCCGAACAGGCAAAGCCAAGTGCCTTTAATTGCAAACGAGGGAAAATGAGAAATCAAGCCCGTTGATGTGGATTCCAGAGCTGTTTGCTGTAAGCGCAGGTACTTTCCAGGAACCATCTGGAGTCGAGAAGACCCTCCCCCAGCTGGCTCGTGTGGAACTTCACATTTCCTGCCTGTGAAGTCTCCTTTTAGATACAGCCGCTGGACTTAATTCTCTTTTTTTTTTCAAACTGCATTAAAACCGGGCCTTTAAATAGTAATTATTCTGCTGAGCTCATTTTGTTGCCTCAATTATAGAACGGATTCAATAAAGCTGAACTGTCTCCCATTTTTTTTAATATCCTGCTTCACTCTTCCTATTAATTTTTCATTATGAATGCAAAATAATGGGAAGGAGGGTGAGTGTGGGTTTCGCTCGCTGGCCGGGCGGGTGTGAGGACGCTCCTCTCGGGAGAGCCTGGAGAGCCACAGGGCGTGTGCCGGGAGGGTGTGGGGGGGTTGTTCGTAAGGAACACCGGATTGGGAGCAGAGAGGGGTCTCTGAGCCCCGATACTGGAGAGGGGTGCGGACTGCTCCCATTTCACCCTGGCCGGGCTCTTGTCTGCGCTCTGTGCTCCGTCCAGCTGGAGGGGATCTGAATGGGAAGTAGTGGTGAGGTTGGGATAGGGGTCCTGAGCTCCAGGCTGGACTAGAGGACCCCGCCCGAGGGGGGAGAAGAGCTGAGCCCCCTCTGCCTGCTGGAGAGGTCGCAGTCCGACGGGGCTCGGCTACTGCCAGCCCCCCCCCGCAAACGGCAGGATCGAAAGGCGATGATGGGCTAAGGGATACCAGGATGGCTCCATGCCAGTCACTCGTTGGCTCTGCCCTGCCACAGCCGGGGCAGGGGGCTGCTGGCTCAGTGGGGCGGGAGAGCTCTGCGCCTGTCCCGGGAGCTGTGGTTCTGGTCAGTAGTCCCCCGGTCACTTCCCCCTGCCCTCCTCTCGTCTCCTCCCGCCTGCTCCCCTCGCTCCCCGCGCCGCGGCCTAATTAACGAATGTGCTCTGGATTAGCGGTAGTGACAGCTATAAAGGTTTATGAGCACTCCATTGAGTGGTGGGGGGGGGCAGGAATGATGGGCCTTGGCTCCGTCAGCGGCTCTGCAATCGATTCCCACCCCCCCCGCCACCCATACTCCAGGAGATTGACCCTCTGATCCGGATCACTAATACGACTCTCCCGATGGACTGGGGGTGGCCGGAATGGGCATCAGGGGGATATGGGATAGGGGCTGTAGGAGGGGGTGGGGAGGGATGATGACGCAGGCGCTGGAGGTTGCTGGACGTCTGGGCGTTTTGCTTTCCAAGGCGCACGGCGCCGAGCCACAGCGGCCTCTCGTCTTTCCGTTCGGGGGAAACCGCGCCCACCCCCCCCCCGTGCCCCCCAGCGCGGCTGTTCGTGAGTCGGGCAGGCGCATGAGTCTAGGATGCGCATCGCGGGTCTGTGCTGGACTCGGGTGACACCCGCTGGGCTGCTTGAGACCGTTGAGAGAGCCGGTCGGCTCGCTGGGCGGTTCACGCCAGTTCTCCGCGGGCAGAGGGCCCAGGTCCCACCGGCGCGGATGTGAAAAACGGGTTCTGGCCCTGGGGGGGTGCAGCGAAGCAGAGTGGGGGGGGGGACTCGGCGTGAGGTATTTCTGCGTTTCGCAACACTTCTGCAACACTTGGAAAACAAGTTGCGCCGCTAGCTTGGTGACCTCCCCTCTCAATTTCTGTCTCTTTCAGACATGAGACGCTGAAGTCCCGGCGGACACAAAAAGCTGCAGGAAGCTGAAAGGAGGAAGTCCCGCCCCCAACCCCGCACCCCACAAAAGCCCGCAACGATGGCGCTCGGTGGCCTGGCGTTGGCCTTTTGCCTCTTTTTGCAGGCCGGGCCCCTTGAGGGCTTCCCCGTGGAGCCCACGGGACTGCCCCCGGACGCAGGCCGGTTTCGGGTGGCGGACACCACCCTGACGCACTTGACCGTGCACCGGCAGACGGGCGAGGTGTTCGTGGGCGCGGTGAACTGGATCTACAAGCTGTCGGACAACCTGACGGAGCTGCGGTCGCACCAGACGGGCCCCGTGGACGACAACGCCCGCTGCTACCCCCCGCCCAGCGTCCGCGCCTGTGCCCACCGCCTGGCGCCCTCCGACAACGTCAACAAGATGCTGCTGGTGGACTACCGCGGCCGCCGCCTGGTGGCCTGCGGCACCATCTGGCAGGGCGTGTGCCAGTTCCTGCGGCTGGAGGACCTCTTCAAGCTGGGCGAGCCCCACCACCGCAAGGAGCACTACCTGTCGGGGGCCCGGGAGGCGGACGGCATGGCCGGGGTGGTGGTCGAGGAGGAGGAGGAGGGCGGGGCGGGCGAGGGGGCGGTGGGTAAGGAGGCGAAGGCGGGCAGCCGGCTCTTCATCGGGGCGGCCATCGACGGGAAGTCGGAGTACTTTCCCACGCTCTCCAGCCGCAAGCTGGTGGTGAACGAGGAGAGCGTCAGCATGTTCAGCCTGGTGTACCAGGACGAGTTCGTCTCCTCCCAGATCAAGATCCCCTCCGACACCCTCTCCCTCTACCCGGCCTTCGACATCTACTACGTCTACGGCTTCGCCAGCCGCAGCTACATCTACTTCCTCACCCTCCAGCTGGACACCCAGCTCACCCAGATGGACGCCACGGGGGAGAAGTTCTTCACCTCCAAGATCGTGCGCATGTGCGCCGACGACACCGAGTTCTACTCCTACGTGGAGTTCCCCCTGGGCTGCACCAAGGACGGGGTGGAGTACCGCCTGGTCCAGGCTGCTTACAAGCACCGGCCCGGCCGGAGGCTGGCCAGGGCCCTGGGGCTGTCCGAGAAGGAGGACGTCCTCTTTGTGCTCTTCTCCCAGGGGCAGAAGAACCGGGCCAACCCGCCGCGGGAGACCGTGCTGTGCCTCTTCACCCTGCGGCAGGTCAACGAGGCCATGCGGGAGAGGATCAAGTCCTGCTACCGGGGCGAGGGGAAGCTCTCCCTGCCCTGGCTGCTCAACAAGGAGCTGCCCTGCATCAACACGGTGAGTCCCCTGGCCTGGTGGGCCCCAGCGCTGGCCCTAGAGGCACGCCGCGTCTTCTGGGTTTTCTTAAGCGCTTGGCACGCCTATTGAATTCCACCGGTGAAGCAGTTTCTGACTGAAGCATTGAGAAACATTTGTGTTCCCTGTCAACGTGCAGTTGTCCTTCCTCGGTTGTCCAAGGCACAGTAGTTGAAAGTGACCAGAGTCGCCAAAAGGTGGTAACTGACTCGTTAGCTCAGAACATAAACCGTTTTCTCCCAGTCGAGAGCCCTCCCACACACACGCACGCCCGCGATTAAAACCCCTTGTTGTCCTCCTTGCAGCCCAAGCAGATCGGGGATGACTTCTGCGGCCTGGTGCTGAACCAGCCCCTGGGAGGCCTGCACGTGATCGAGGGCGTTCCCCTGTTCGACGACCGCACCGAAGGCATGGCCGCCGTGGCGGCCTACACCTACGGAGAGCACTCGGTGGTGTTCGTGGGCACACGCAGCGGCCAGCTCAAAAAGGTAGGCGGGGCACCTCCCCCTGCTTGTCCCTTGTTGACATCTCCAGAAGCGGTGTCCTCTGAGCATGGGCGTCCCCTAGGGTCACGACCTTTCCTGCGAGCAGAGTCTGCTGTGGGAGGACGTGTGTGTTCTCTCTCTCGGCCAGTTCATTCTTTTTGTCTTCAAGGGGCTGATCTGCCCGTGAGAGGTCAGAAAGGAGGTTTTCCGTGCGCTCTGGTGTTGGGAGCGCAGTTCTCCTTGGCGCGGAGCCTCGTGCGCTGGCGATGAGCAGTGGTTCTGCTCCTGGACCGTCCTTGTGCGCGCAGTGGACCACAGAGTGAATCTGCGGGCAAGCGGTTCTGGGAGGGCTCGGTCCTCTGGGTGCGTTCTGGGTTTTTACTTTGTGGATGCAGACCGCAATTATCTGGGCTGAATAGCTCAGTAATTGGATCAATTAAGTAATTAAGAGCAGGACTGCAGTGAAAGGCTGAATCCCTGTGCCAGGGCCTCCTCACCCCTCCACTCCAGTCTCCTCGAGACGCTGTTGCAAAGAATATAACCCAGTAACCATTATGTTCATTTATTTTTTTTCTTCCCGGTGAAGCATTTTTAGTAATTATGAAATGAAGCGGATCAGCTGAGGGGCTCTGATGTCTTTTTTTTTTTTTTGCCCTGGCGTCTGTTCCTTGAGTGGGTGTTTTATTTTCGGCTGCTGTCATTTGCGGGCTGGTGGCGGAGGGGGCTCGCGCTGCTGCTAACTGACAAAGTGCCATTAGCGCTGTTGTCCAGCTGTCTGCGCTGAAGAAGCCGCCGCAGAGTGCATTAAACAGAAAATTGAACAGTGAGACGTGCGCATTTTCCACTTGCGTGATCCAGACGTTCTGCCATTAGAGCAATATTTCATGAGGATACGCTTACACCTCCCCTTCCTCATGAATTATTGGCGAGTCAGTCACTTTGGTAGCGCGTCAGCCGGCGAGCCGCACGAGCTGCCCGGCTTGCCCAGGTTACACAAAAGACACTACGTCAGGGGTTTCTGATCCTGGTCCTCAGGGGGGCGCTGTCTCTGCGGTGGGGGTGCCCAGTCCTGCTCCCAGAGGTCCACACACCTGTTGGTTTTCATTCCAGCTGAGGCTTAATGACCTAATTGAAGCCTTCATTGAATCAGGAGTGGAAAACCCTGTAGTAAGGACAGCATTACCTCTAGATGGTCCCTGGAACCAAAATCGGGAACCCCTGCAGTAGACAGCGCCCCCTGCAGGATCAGGTTTGTGGGAACCCCTATAGTAGAAACAGCGCCCCTTGCAGGATCAGGTTTGTGGGTACCCCTATAGTAGAGACAGTGCCCCATGCAGGACCAGGACTGGGAACCCCTACAGTAGAGACAGCATTCCTTGCAGGACCAGGTTTGTGGGTACCCCTACAGTAGAGACAGTGCCCCCCTGCAGGACCAGGACTGGGAACCCCTGCTCTAAGCTACCCATCTTAGACACAATGCCCAGAGAGCACTGCAGGCTACAGAATCTCAGACTAGCACTGCAGGCACAGAGAGCCGTTTCCATTCCCTTTCCCTACAGAAGAAACATTCTGCATCAACACTGAAAACATGCCGTGTCAGTGCATATAGTCTACTGGATTGTGCATGCATAATCACAGACTGTTTTAAAATGAGCACACATGCTGCATGTTGGAGTTGCCTTGTTTTTCTGCTGTGCTTTCGTGCCTCTGATATACATAGCTGTGAAGCGTCGGTTTTGGGCCCTGCATGATGCACAGGACTAAAATAAAAAGAGGTGTTGTGTTAGTGCCTGCTCTGTTTGTTGCTTGGTGTTGTCGGTGTGGAAAGGCTCTTGCTCCCTGTACAATGATAAGGCCCTGCGTCTGTCTCTAGATGAGCACTGCACAGACACTTCCCTGCAGCTGGTGCGCCATGTTCACATGCTTCTTGGTTGTATGTAAGAGCTGTGTCATCCTTTGCTCACGGCTGATTCACTGTTTCTTCACGGAGAGTCAACAGCAGTGCTGCACAACTCCGGGGCTCGGATTCAGATAAGGATCCAGTTACGTTTTGGACTTGGAATATTCTTCTCTTGCGATGACATATGGTCATGTGTTAGGGATCATAAGCTTTTGTGGCTCTTCCAGAATATGAGGTCCTGCTCTGCACAAACAAAAGGCAACGCTGGTTTGAAAAATGTTTCATAAAATTAAAAAAGCTGGCTTTTGTGATACAAATGCAAACTAATGACCAGGGTGCCTGCTTCTTAGTAAATCCTCCTTGTGCTTGTGGATTGTGCTTGTTTGTCTGTCATTCAGCAACTGTGATTGCTTTATGAAAAAATGGCAAACCTACTAGGCACTGGGCATTACTGTGTAAATTGACATGGTTCTTTCCCATATCTTTGATGGTCTAGTTATTCCCTGTGTGGCTTTTCTAGAGAATTATATAGGAGAAAACGGATGCGGAACAGAAAACAATACTGCGGAGAGGTGTAACAAGAAGGGTATTTAACAGCGTAACGCAGAGACGGCAGATCTGTCACGTTATAGGCTGGTGTAACGTGAACATGGTTCCCCCTTTCAGCATTGTCCAACACTGCCGGCACGGAACTGCACGCTCTGCACAGGAGCAGCCACAGCAGCAGAAAACAACAGTCCTGACACAGCTAGCGCAGCTACGAAACAGGGCCTCTTTCCAACCTCTTGTTTGCTGCTGTGAGGCACTGGCTCTCCTTTGTCTGTCTCTAAATGAAATCCAGCTAAAAATCCCTCATCCGCATCGTGCTCTGCACCTACTGTTCCTCTTGGTCCTTCTGCGGCTTTTAAGACTTGCGACTTGCAGGAAAAATAGAAAATCGGAAGCACATTTAGCTTCTGGAGCAAACAGCCTTGCAACAGTAGGCCCCTCCCCGCCTCTCCCCCCCCCGCCCCGCTGGGTCTGAAGGCTCTCCGGTGGCCCAGCAGACTGGCCGGGCCCGCCCTTGGGTTCTGTCCACCCGCTGGCAGCCGGGCCCTCGCTGTGTTTCCAGCTAGTCACAGCACAGGCGCAGGGGAGATGAAAGCAGGGAGGGGCAGATCGAAAAGCACGAGCAGCTCTCTTCTCCCGAGCCCGGTCCTGGTCCTTTCATTGGCAAGCCCGCGGAGCGGCCGCGTGTCCCGTCTCCCCCTGTCGGCGGGACTGCCCCATCTGCCCCTTCAGGCGCGCGGGGTGCAGGACGGGAGAGCAGGGGTATCCCAGCCTGCCTAGCGCCCTCGTGCGGCGCTTGGCCTCCCTCTCCCGTGCCAGTGCTGCTGCCTGCCCAGGCACACTCCAGCTCAGTCTGGGAAGGGGCTGGGTGGTGGTGGTGGGGGGGAGCATGTGTGTCTGTGTTTGGGGGATAGTGGGGGGTTTAAATGACCCGTCTCTCCACCCAAACTGCTTGTTTGTTTTGGCGGCAGAAGAGAAAAGGCAGCCCCCCTCGTTCAGGGAAATGGCCTGTAATCAGGCCTCTTCCACTCCCTCCTGCCTGCCAGCCAGCGGCCCCCTCTGCCGCCCAAGCTTCCTCGCTGCAGGAGGAGGAGGAGGGTGGGTGGTCCGTGTCGGGGGCGCTCTTACTTGCTTGGGCAGAGCAGTCACCCCAGTCCCTCCAGCCTCGGGGACGTTCTCCTCCCTCTGTGGTCAGATGCCAACGCGCCCCGCGGGCGCCCCCCGGGCCCCTGGGGTATTTGTGGGCTGTCCTCCCCGCCGGTACCACCCCCGGGGGCACAGCGCAGATGCGAGGGCAGGACTGCAAAGGCTGAGTTTCAGGGCAGTGCCAGTTTCTGCCAGCAGCCCAGCCAGCACGCTGCCCCTTGAGCTTGGCAATGTGCTGGCAGCCTTCCTCAGCAAATGAATATCCACTTGAGGTTTTTTTATACTGACTTATGTTTTTAATCCGTTCGTATGGAATAGAATAGGACTTTGTGTAGATTGCCATACTCACGTTATGCAGTAGACCGCATTGATGCACCCAGTTACATATCAGCTGCTCTTTATCAAGGATTGGAGCTCATTGCAATAGCATAGTAGTAATATATCCATATAGAGTGTAATAGGCAGACAGGTCTTTACCAGTCAGCCTTAATTAATTCAGCCAAAAGCGAAGATAAGGACTTTAAATAATGTTCAAACAGCCGACCTGTAAGTCAGGGGCAATTACCTTTCATTCTCTGCTGTCTAACAATCTTTCTCAGTTTTACATTGGAAGGGTTACAGACAAGAGGGGGGCTGTTCTAACACATTTGTTTGCTACTGGCTAATTAATCAAAGGATCTCGTCCAGCTGTTTCTTGAAAGAAGCCGGGGTATCGGCTCCATCAATGTGTCCGGACAGCCTGTTACACTCTCCCACCACCCTTTGTGTAAAGAGGCACTTTCTTTATTTCAGTTAAATATGCATTTTCACATAGTGTCCACTTGTCCTCTGGTCTGTGTGAATCGACCAGACTTGTTTTCCATCCACGTTGGTCTTGATGGTTGTTCAACCCCCGGGCTGTGTTTACCCGCCACTTCCCGTACCTGTTCAGAATGCAATTGCTCGGTCCGCCTCCCTGCTCCGGGCCCCAGCCTGCTGGTATTCCTGGACGCTGCCACATACAGAGCTGCTGTGCTGTGTGGGGCTGCTCTCACATGGGCTGCCCGACAGATCTCACTCGAGCGGCGATGCTCTTGACAGGGGCTGCGAGATCAGTGCAAGCCACAGGCCACAGGCTGCTGGGCTTTCCAAGTCTGGCTGGAGCCTCCCTGCCCCCTGAGTGTCCTGGTGTCTCTGGCGCTGGGGTGCAGCTTGGAGCCGTCTGCTGATTAGACACGCAGGCAGCGAAGCATTTTCCCGAAGCGCCAGCATCCGCCGTTAAGGACTGTCGAAGCCTGGAAGTGGAAGTGGATGTGTTGTTTACAGGGCCGCCGTCATCGCCAGCCCTTGTTAGTCCTGGGCCCCACGGGGGCCGTCTTGAAGGCAGAGCCGCGGCGGCTCTCTGCAGCGGATTGAATACGTGATCCAA